GGAAATGATCAATATAGTTCCATGTTTTGATGTATCCCACATATTAGGGTAGCGCTCAATGTTTGTATTTTTTAGGTTATTTGTTACATATTGATCCTAAGTACTCATAAGTTACTCAAAGCTAATTCACTACCGAATATTTCGTTAAGAGTTAATTCAAATTATGTATAATATTAAATTCTGCAATTTCCTTCCATTTAGCTGCAATTCCCATTTAATTGTCCATTGTGTTGATTTCTGTTTCTTAATCGAAATAACAATCACTGGCATTATGCCGCCTACTTTTCTTATCACTTCTCAGAATTCGGTTCAGAACAAACACAACAAAAGCCACAGCGAATGCCAATGCACTGCTGCAATGGGTTGGGAAATGTTTGTTATTTTTAACATCCCTACGAAGTTGTAATCTATAATGAATTCTTTGTTAAATTTCATTTGTCTGCAGCTTTTAAGTTGTAAGAATAGCTTTCAACACTGTAAGAAATTAAAAGACGATATTATTTTATAAACCAATTCAACTAAACAGGCTATAGTCGAGTATATTAAAAAAATAATTTTAAGAAGAAAATGACGCACCAAGGGATACAATTTCTGAAAGATCGAAAAAAATCATTAGTATTTTTATCATCAAATTCTGCATTTATCTTATCTGTGAAATGGAACTATCTATGTATATTAACATAACAATAACAAATTTAACTTTAATAGTCGTATGACATCCGTCATGCAATGAACATTTTATTTTTTTTAATAGACAAAGATTGTATGTTGAATTTATCGTTAAATATGGCTACATGAATTTTGTGCGACATATTGTAGACTATAATTATTAACAATTTGAGCCCCGAATTTTTTTCGTGACTATAGCGAAAAACAAATAGAAGCATGAAGATATCGGAAAATCAAATAAATTATTTTTTGAATTAAAATAAAAAGGTTTTTTCAATTTTCGATTTTTTTAGTATGGTTAAGAGGATACGGTTTTTCCTTAATCTTCTAAAATATACCACGCTTTCTTCTGTACATTCTTTTAGATGATTGTTAAATATCGGTAGATTCTATTGTTAAGAGTTTTGACTTTAAAAACGACCAAATATATTGCAGTTACAGTATATGAAAATGATCAATATTAAAAAGGATGCAATTCGCGTATTCGTTGAAATCAGTTGATGTGCATGCGTTTTTCGGATAAACCGAATCAATCTCTTCCAATAATTATACATTTTTCGAGGTTTCGATTAGCGGCCGAAGTGTGCCGCTCGATGCACTTTACCATCCAAAAACTCTAAAAATGGCTAAAAATCACGTAACGTGCATACGATTTTTATGCGCATCCGGAAAGGACACCTATTTTAAAAGGATCGGTTACGAACCGCGGATGTGCCTCCACAATCGATTTTGGATCAAATACGCATATTATTCGCGTATCGATATATTTTTGACCTATTTTCACACAGATTCGCGAATATGATAACACAAGAATGAATGTATGTGAAATCAATTCGAAGAAAAACGCGATTATATACGCGAATTTGTCAAAATAAGTTTTTGCTGTTTTTCCCACATTCAAGGTACCTATATCCGCCGTTTTATAGGGTGGAATTGAACATGGATGGGCTCATTAGATCCGGCACGTAAAAAAAAAACTAAAATCACGCGGGGTTCCACGGAATTTGAATGGACTTTCTTAATTTTAGACTCAAAAAATGTGTTTTTTATAAAAATTTAAGCACCAAATTTTCGACTTTGGAACCCAATTGCAAAGAAGTTACGGTGAGCACATTCATGAGATATACACTAAACGAAGCAAAATCACGAGTTCTAAAATCCTATAATCAGTTTAGTTCATTATCTGGATGCGCATCCTAATTATAAGAAAAATTCAAAAAACACCGAAAATCCGGCTTCAAAATGTCAGCATCCATTTTGGGTGGATCCATTGATTATATCGAAAAATCATACATTAGAACCATATTGTCCATGGCGTATTCTGCAACTTAGTCACTGGTCACATGTGCGTGCGCTGTGTAGTTTATCCACAAATCAGGAAGGGACACAAAAAAACTCGTTGGCTTCAACACATTTTCACCCATTTTTCTACATTACCAACATCACAGCTTCCACGGAACTTATTATGTAAGATATTTTAAGATTTTGACAAGAACACTTCATTTTATAAAAATGAATTTAAATTACATGCAATATGTTTATATTTCGCGAGGTATAACCTTGCAAACCTCAGTTTCAAGGAATTTAAAAGATTTTTGTAATTTCCCATATATAGCATTTCCACATTAAATGAAACCTTTTACAAATTAAATGAACCCTTTTCCAAATTAAATGAAACCTTTTCCAAATTAAATGAAACCTTTTCCAAATTAAATGAAACCTTTTCCAATTGAAATGAAACCTTTTACAAATAGAATGAAACTTTTTCCAAATTAAATGAAACCTTTATTCTTATCTAAGGAAATATAATATTTGCAGTAATTTTAAACCAATATTTGAAAATTAAATCAAAGAATATTAACAAATATAGTTGTATGACTATGTAATTAACATAAATATTCTTTAATTCGTTGTGATTTTATTTTATATCTTTACTAAATAAGACTAAAAAAATAGTAATACAAACTGGGGTATTTCTTGACATTTTAATAAATAAATATTTTAGAACAATTATTGAATACCCGGTCCTAAATGCGAAATACATATTTGATTTAAAAAATTGTTGATGATAAGGTAACTGCTTATCTTAATGAAGGGGTTCCCGACTTGCAGCTTGTGGGATTTTCAAAACCATGTCCATAACGTAGTTAGAACAATCTTGCCGAGTAAGCTTTTGAATACTTCGCTCGATTACATCAACAATGTTATGTTCCATTGAAACGTCACACAGCTCAGCTCTTGGACATAAATTTATTTTTGAAAATGCATTTTCGATTGGATTTAGCATTGGAGAATAAGGCGGTAAGAATTTAAGGTTGCATCTTTTGGATTCGATCAAATTTTTTACGTCATGTCGCTTGTGTATTTGAGCGTTATCGATTATCAAGAACGAATTTTCCTACTCTGGATTGATTTCCTCCAAAAGACTTTCTATAAATAATTTAAATCTGTCTGCATTGACACTGGAATTAGAAATTATTGTGTGATTGGGGTATCCCCAATATTCATTGATCGTTGTTGGGGTATCCATTTTGTAAAGTCTTGAGCATATTTTGTCTCAAACCTAATGTTCATTCGTTCTATTTCACTAGAGGCCATCTTCAACGTAATTTTTAATTTCCGTAATCCATTTTCTATGGAGCTTGTGGAAATATTTATATCATTTTCTCTCAACAGTTTAGTTTTTATGGCTTTGAGGGTAATTCCAGGTTGACTTTCTAGATATAACTCGATCAGACTTAAACTTCTGGTGTCAAAAATTTAGTTCTATTTCCTCCACGCTTATTTTCCTTCCAGAATTTCTTTTTGTATCTTCTTATTAATGCTTTTGCTCAACTTATTTTTATGCAGGTTAAATTTGCAATCTCGGTAATTGTTCTACCCTCTTCATACAACTTACATAAAAAATTTCATGTCTTTTATTATTTTGTTATACTGACCCAATTTGTTTCGGGGTCTTGTAGATGTAGCTTTGGTAGGTTCTGGAGCATTTTCACTTGCAATACTTGGCGAGGTTATAGACTCTTCTTCAGATTCCCAATTATCAGAGGTTCCCGAGCTAAAATCAGGTTAGCTCATAATTATTTAATTGTGTATGCCTACCTATACAAAACTCTACTAAATGAATGACTCCAGAACATTAGGCTTGAGACAAAAATATGCTCAAGACTTTACAAAATGGATACCCCAACAACGATCAATGAATATTGGGGATACCCCAATCACACAATAATTTCTAATTCCAGTGTCAATGCAGACAGATTTAAATTATTTATAGAAAGTCTTTTGGAGGAAATCAATCCAGAGTAGGAAAATTCGTTCTTGATAATCGATAACGCTCAAATACACAAGCGACATGACATAAAAAATTTGATCGAATCCAAAAGATGCAACCTTAAATTCTTACCGCCTTATTCTCCAATGCTAAATCCAATCGAAAATGCATTTTCAAAAATAAAATTATGTCCAAGAGCTGAGCTGTGTGACGTTTCAATGGAACATAACATTGTTGATGTAATCGAGCGAAGTATTCAAAAGCTTACTCGGCAAGATTGTTCTAACTACGTTATGGACATGGTTTTGAAAATCCCACAAGCTGCAAGTCGGGAACCCCTTCATTAAGATAAGCAGTTACCTTATCGTCAACAATTTATTAAGTCAAATATGTATTTCGCATTTAGGACCGGGTATTCAATTCCTGTTCTTAAATATTTATTTATTAAAATGTCAAGAAATACCCCAGTTTGTATTACTATTTATTTAGTTTTATGTTGTAAAGATATTAAATAAAATCACACCGAATAAAAGAATATTTATGTTAATTACATAGCCATACAACTATATTTGTTAATATTCTTTTATTTAATTTTCAAATATTGGTTTAAAATTACTGCAAATATTATATTTCCTTAGATAAGAATAAAGGTTTCATTTAATTTGGAAAAAGTTTCATTCTATTTGTAAAAGGTTTCATTTCAATTGGAAAAGGTTTCATTTAATTTGGAAAAGGTTTCATTTAATTTGGAAAAGGTTTCATTTAATTTGGAAAAGGTTTCATTTAATGTGGAAATGCTATATATTATTATTAATACTGCTGATGTGACTTTCTCCGATAATACATTTAGCAGTCATCTCAAACACTTAAATGTGCACTTTATGTTCAGACTAACATCATATAAATAAAAACATACATACATATATACATATATAATCATATCATAAGAAGTATATCAACTATTACTTTTGTAATTACAGATCTTTTTCCTCACAATGATATTATTATGATAGGTGGTAGACAGTTTATGCAGAAATAGAGTTTCTCGCAGCAGAAAATGCATTTTAACCAACTTAAACAGGAAGAACAACAGCAAGAACTACAACAACAAGGAAACCCCCAAATAACTGATGTCGACTTTACAAAGGACTCTGATAGGAAGTCCATATCGCTGTTATCAGACGGATGTCACCGTGAAATAAAAACACTTCTGCTGACAACTGACAATGACAAGTTTGGGGGATCTTCGTCATCTTCCACAGACTCGGGCGTAAATGTGAGTGACAATGAAGCAACAACACCGCCATCTCCTCTGCCGCAGTCACAGCAGCTATCCCAACAAATGTCAGCATCAGCCACAGACCCAATCGCCGCGTCCACAACCGAAATAAATTTCAGTCCATATGGAAAACAACGCCAACGAAACGATATCAACAATTCACCGATTTCAACATCGAGTGATAACCAAACAAACACTAAGCACAGTCGAAGTTGGAACATAGCGGGCAGGGATGTGGGCGGCGAGAGCAGGAGTAACAACACTTTCGCCAATGAGTTGAAAAGTGAAGAGCAGTTGAGAGGCAACAGTAGCAGCGACAACAATTGCAGCGCATCGCCGTCGAGTCATCGAAATGCCATTAAAAGTGAAAATGTGATAAATAGTAATCCTCCCGCGTCGACGAATGTGGACGTGGTGTCGCCAGAGTCATTGACCAGTGGAGCGAGTGAGAGAGGCAAGGTGAAATCACCATATGTCCCGCAACGTGCGCCATCACCCTCAACATCGTCCGTTGTGTCATCATCGGAGTCGGAGATATCGAAGAACCCGCCTTTTCATACCCACCATTATCACCACAACGGATCGCCGGTGGTTTCGGTACGTAGCATCGACTCCAGTGTCATTTACTCCAGTGACAGTGATTCGGACGAAAATGCCAATGTCGAAGGCGAGCATAAAAACTATGTGATAAAAAAGTTGGGTACTCAGGTGACTTACCCGCCGAAACATCCCGATATTCCAGTCATCAACAACGGTCTCAAAGTGGTGGATCAGAAAATTACGCCCAACGGAATGGGGCCGCCGCCAGCCTCCCCCTTAGACATAATAAAGAATATGTCCGACAACGTGGCTGTGTTTCATCCTCATCGTCAGGTGGCAGCAAGTTCCTCCCTCCGACCGCAGGTTGCCATTAGCAGTTCTACCGATGTCACCATCGGCGACAAGCATTTCTATGAGGGTCCGGTGACAATACAACAGTTCCTTATCGACAGTCGTAACAAGTGGAACGAAAGCAACGGCAACGATAATGTTGTGTTTGTCGATGAAAACGGCCAACCCCGGACAAATGGTAAGTCCCAATTGCATATTCGCATATGTGGAGGAGGGCATTAGAAATGATTTAACTCCAATGACAATTTCAACAACCAGGCATTAAGTCAAAGTTCTCAATGTCAATTGGAATACAAATAGACTAGCAATGCAACACTGAAGTGGTGCTCATAAAAACAAGGGTTTCCTTTCCAGTTCAGGTTAGTTGTTCACACCACTTATTAATATTTCAACAATTTCCATCGAAATGTTTACGAGTTTCGGTAGGTAGTTAGAAAATAGTTCTAAACTCTTACATTTATATGTGTATGCGAATGCTAGACCAATTGAGTTAGATTGTAGTTTAAGGTACAAAATACAGTGGTAGTCAAAATTGAATTATAAAAGTTCTGATACCATGTAATATCAAATGTCGGCATACATTTTAAATGTTTTGGAATAGATTATAAACTACGTCGGAACCGGGACGTCCGCATCCGACTAAAGTTAGAAACATGAAATTTGGCATGTAGTTCGGATTTGATGCGTAGGCGTGTGAGCCTGTTTAGTGGGTTTTTGTATTATGCGGTAACGATTAGAAGTAGAACTCTGAAATTTATTATGCAGCTTTGTTAATGGCAAGTGAAGCGGTATGTGTGAGAAAATTGGGAAATTAGTAGAGATAGAAATCTTAAACTTGATATGGTTCTTAGAAGTACCAAATAGAGTAGAGATAGACAATATTTAACTATTACAAATTGAATTATATGCTTGAATATGTTTTGGAAATTGGTACCACAGTGAATGATAAGATATAGATAGATTCATCGAAAACAATAAAATGAGTTGCGCAATTATTTTTTGGGAAGAGTTCAAACAAAATAGAGTACTGAAAGAGTTTTTTTTCAAATGGGTTCTAAAAGGCATGGAAACAACTAAATGGATTTCACTTGGTTGTGAATGCCCGGCCGATCTTAGTACGTTTTTATCCACTTTCAATACAAAATATTGACATTTTTGCCAAATTTCGAGTTTTTGGCTCGCATATACGGGTTAAAAAAATAAGAAAATTTTATTTTAACCGTACCTATATCAATAAAATGTTATAAAATTTGTTTTACATTTCTATAAAACCATATGTGTAGGTATCAACACAACTTCCACGAAAATCTAACTTTGTGTGGTTCTATATTCTGAGCTTGTGCAATATTTCGAGGTATTTGCACCATCTTGACCGACTAGAGGTTAACAAATATTACTAATATTCAGTTCACCCCTTCTAATTACTTGTCCAGATTCCCTTCACCGTGGGTTGTGTTGTAATGTTCGGCTTTCAATCGACTCGAAAAAAACATAAACAAATTATGTTTTCGGTCAAATTCATCCCAAAATTATTATCTGATTATAATTGAAAATTATAGGCGTTGTCCCATGCCTGGATCCTCATGGAAAATTTCAAAGCGATCAGCGCTATATTTCCGCCTCTAGTGGAGTAATGGGTTACTGAATAATGTCAGAATATGTGAGCACCCGTAAATATTTAAGTGTATAAAGGTCAACAACTCCTCTTGGATATGCTATCAACTTCTCGGGTATATGTCCTCCAGGAGTAAATATATACGCCAAAGAATACAAATTTTGTCATTTTTCACACAAAAGTCAGGATCCATTTGACCCGCTAAATATTGACCAATCTTTATCAAAACAGGCATGCTTGTTCCTTGGCTCGACCCCCTTCTCCATGTAAAATTTCGTGATGTTCGGACTACAATTGCGGGCTCTGGAGCGACCAGAAAAATCGACAAAAATAAAGTTTTTGGTCCATTTCATCCCTTAAATATTAACTGATCTTTACGAAAAACAATAGGGGTCTTCATTGGCCAGAACCCATCCTACAAGCAAAATTTCGTGAAGATTGGTCCATAACTGTGGCCTATATCGTGTTTACAAATTATAATACGGATGGATACACATGTCTAGATCGACTCAGCTAGTCGAGATATGACGATCGGTATACTTAAAGGTGGGTCTAAGACCAATATTTCGCGGCGTTACAAACTCTTGGGGCTGCACAAAGCTATAATACCCTGACAACATAGTTGTGTAGGGTATAATTAATAAGTAACAAATGTCGAAATTTCTGATCAAAATTCTATGGGAAGCACACTTTGAAAACAAGTATAATTAAATTGTTGTGGATAATTTTATTTATATTTACTGTTCCGTAAACTCGGAAAACTCTATGGCGGAAAACAATTATCACATCTAATTGTACAAACAAGTTCAGTGACATGTTTACAATGAAATATATTTTCATAGAATTTTTACTACGTGGAATTTTTTTATTAAGGGCAATACCAATGTGTAGAAGGTGTAAATGACAATTAGACTGTTTTTTACTTTTTTGTAAAAAAAAATTCAGAATATATTAGGGTCTTCACTTCAAATAATATTTTCAACGAACTTATTCTAAATTGATCACAAAACGTACCAGAAAAAATAAGAGATGAATTTTAAATTGTAAAGTATGTTTATTTAGGGGATTTGCTTAATGTTTTTATATATTGTCCGAAAAAATTCTATGACCAACCCTAATATTCAATTTCAAGCATTTGACAAATTATTTTAAAGGGCCCCATACACTATAAATCATGCCGTCATGCCGATGAACCCCTTTTTGTATATGTGAGATTGACTAGTGTATGGCAAACTCTTCAATCACTATTTCAAAAAATCGATTTTTGTCCCAAAAATTGCATTTTGAGTCGTAAATTCAGTTGTTTTTTTATTCCGACACAATTCTATTATTTTTGTACACAAAATTATTTACTGACAACTTTCAAAATGAATATTATTCACCAGATTGATAGGGGTTCATTTTCAAAATCAAAACTATTTTAATTTTCTTCATGCATTGTGTGTGTCACACATACATAAATAAACATTCAAAAAATAACACATACTATGATAAATGCTGTACGGCATGATGTATAGTGTATGGGACCCTTAAAATATGATTTCATGAAAAACAACAACAAACGATTTGAATTATGGTGTTATATATTTTGTGGAATTGAGAACTGCACTTAACTTTCTCGCCCATGTTGTCATACATTCGATATATCCAGAATTCATTAAACTTAGTATTACCGAGCTGTAAAGTTATAGTCTGAAATATTTTGTGTTTTCGATGCACTCTAATTCTTTGTAGATGGGTGCTTATTTTTTAATAATTTCTTAGGTACAGCGAGTACCGTGTTGTGAGTCCTGAGTGTATTTTGGTTGTATGGAAAGATACGAACCAGATATTTTTAAATCGTTGTGTATTTTAGATTATTTAAAATTTAGATACAAAATTTTTGCATAATTGTTTTTAGCTTCAAACACATTTACATGTACGTCATTATTTTTATTCCCTTATTGACTAAAAAGCTATTGTTTGCAGTGCCAATAAAACTGGAATTAATTGCTTATTCTTTGCACACTGAGGTGTTTGCGGGGATTTTTTTCTCTTCCCCATATTCCGATTCATTCGCATTAATTATTTTTTTTTTATTTCTATAAATATGTATCATTAACCAAAAAACACCCCAGAACCGAATGGAAAAGACTTCAATTATCAACTTTTTATTGAAAACCCTAGTCAGTGCCATTGACAAACTTGTACATTCCGGATGCGTGTATTCGGATTTCAATTTTCCATATAAAATTATATGCGTAAAAATATTGAAATTAAAAAAAGCATGGAGCGTTGTGAAAAGTGCAAAACCTCACCAGAGCCACACGAGCGAATTCGTTTCGTTATTTGCGACGGACAATGTGCCAACAAATTTCACAGTCTGTGTGTCGGTTTAAATGAGGATCAATTAACGTTAATTCTATCTTCCGAAAATATAAAATGGGTGTGTGACATGTGTATGTGTAGGAGTGAACCTCTTCAATCTGAATCGATGTTGATGAAAAAAATCTTGAAACAACATGAGTATCATGATAGTGTATTTGCCGAAATACAGTCCCGTCTTAATCGTTTAGAGAACTTAACGACTTTTTGTAAGTTCATATATTTAAAATAATATATACGTTTGTTTGTTGAAAAGTTGAAGCTTGATTCAGTGGTTGTTTTGTAAAAATAACAAAATAGCGTATATCTCAAATAAGTGGTTTTCCAAAGCAGACGACCGACGTCTACAAATTTGAAAATTTTACCACCGAAATTCGAATTCAATTGCCGAAGTCCATTTACTAGGAATAAGTAAATCGACTAATCAATTAATCGACTTTTGTCTTAAAAAGTCTAAAAGTCGATTTTTGATCAAGAAAGAAATCGCAAAGTCAATTTTTTAGATTGATTTTTGATATTCTTCATAATTACTTGGTTTATAATGACAAAGCCACAATTGCTCAACAATTACACATTTCAGAACTTTAGTTTATCGTTTGACAACAATTCATATAATGGTCTGTTCCCGTACTGCAAGAATCTACTAGTTTTTACTACGATAACGAATTTTCCTTTATGATATCGAAGAAAATAGTAAAATCGAGTAGATGCTTGCAGTACGGAAACAGACCATAAATAATCCATTTTCTAGTCGATTTTGGTTTGGTGGGTAAAAATCGAAGATCGATTTTGAAAGGTTCATTAAAATCGAAAGATCGAAGAGTCGACTTTTTAGTCAAAGTCAAAAGTCTAAAAGTCGACCTTTACACTCGACTGCGTATCCCTAGCGTTTACTATATATGTTGTTTGTAGAACACGTAATTATTTACTCCTTAGACATAATTACGAATTAGTTAATCCGCTTCGCGCTTTATGTGAAGTTTATAATAATTTATATAATATAGTATCATTTTCTGACCCTACATGAATTCAAAAATCTATTATTCGTCTATAACTCAAGTATTGTTGCCAGAATTTGATACATGTCAATGTTATATAACATTTTCAAATAAAAATTACATTCACAAAAATATAAAATTTAGACATTGACTTCGTGTCGTTTTTAAACCGTGACCGACAATGGCATACATTTCGAAATATTTTAATTGTAATATGCCAAGTTTTGTTGAAATCGGTTCAGATTTAGATATAGCTCCCATATATTGTTTCGCCCGATTTTATGTAAATGGAGCACCATACTGTCAAAATTTTGCACAGCGTATAGTTGGACATCTGTGACAAAAATATAAAATTTAGACTTTGACTTCGTGTCATTTTTAAAACGTGACCGACAATGATATACATTTCGAAATATTTGAATTGTAATTCCATGATACTGTTTGTAATTCAAATCGTAAACGATTTGCCATATTTACTAAGGATATATACATACATATGTATACAAAAAACAAAATGCTTTATCAAATTCCAGATTTGACCTAAATATAGTAAATATAGGGTTACTCTTGTCTTCGTGTCGTTGTGTTCAGAAACTTTGTTTAAATTTACCTTCCGCAGATAGAATTGAACTTAAATATTTAAGATAAATACGAATGTGTCTTCAATGAATCAATTTGTGGAAATTTCATCGAATTTTGTCCTTGAATTATGCATGTTTTGTTTATAATTGTGGAACATCATGTTACCCTTGTGAATTATTAATAAGTTCTTATTCATATTTATTTTCACAGTTCGAATTATTTCTGGATCATATCATTAGCACCTCTCAGTATACCGTAAACAAATAATTCAACTTAGATATGCATGCATAGATACATACAATATAATATTGAAATACAATTATTCGAACATGCTCTCATATATTTCTTTTGTATTTTACAGCCAAAGATATTAACGAACCACCGATACCAGCCAATTCGGATGGAGCGTGTGTAAAGCTTCTCAAGCAGAAAAAGTACATGATCGCCAGTGCCTGCGCAGTGATAACCTTGATCATATTGGCCATTGTATTTGGGATCGAAGTGTCCGCGGAGAATAAAAGTAAGATTGTACCCGGAAATAGCGAAGAATCGAGAAAGAATATTCCAATCAATTCAACCATAGGTATTCGTTCAATCTCTATCAAAAAAAAAAAAAAATAGACCCACATCCACAATTTGTATCATCAAACAAGAGTTCATGACTAATTTCCACAATTATTTACCAAACATACTACAAACATAAATATATGTATGTATGTTTTAATTTGCATGAGGCTGAAATTGAAACAAAATAAAGTAGTTGTTTATTTAAAATAATTCTATAAACTAAATTTGGAACGTAACTACAGAGAAATATTATGGCCGTAGGAATTGGTATTTACCTTATCTAAAGTCAAAATATTAATTGTGAAAAAGTTGATTTAAAATTTGGCAAATGTCATTGTGAACCGATTTATACTGCCGGTGCAAATGAAATGTCTCATGGAATACATAAATATGTATGCTGGAGCTATATGGAAATTCTAAGGTGTTCATAACGATCCTAAACAAATTATAATTTTACATTCAGCTTTCATGCTAATGAGGGTGTATTGCTTCATCTAAATATCGAGAGTCGATTTAGAAATGTTAGTTCGCCCGTCTATCTGGGTGGTGTACATGATACTCTTAATGGGACTAATAACAAATTTTGCACATCGTAATATTTTTTTCTAAATTTAAATCATGTTTGATGGTTTGGTTTATCGCTCCAATCTTTCTTTCTTTCGAATGAAACCAAGTATACAATATTATGCGAACGGAACTTTCGATTTTATTCAATCTTTACACAACCTAATAAATCATGTCCGAAAAAATCTACAAATCCCATAATCCCAATTAAGCCTTATTTTGTGCATCACAATTTATATATTGAATTAAATCTGAAGACGGGACCGCTACTTGTACCACCGCCACAATATGTAAAAGTTCAGAACATTTCTAATATAATCAATTTGATAGGAATATATTTTTATACAGCTTGTGGCAAATCTTTATTTGGTTCAAACATGGCACACCTTAACATTTATATAAAATATAGATTTATTGCAAATATAAGATATATAAGTCGATTCCGTTGGGTTTCCCATAAATCTCGTAAAATAAGAAATTAACCTTTTTGTAGGAGGTACCAGAGGAGAGGTCAGACCGGTCCCACCTTGGGACTTAATCTAGGCTTGGTAAAGATAATAGCTTGTGCGAAATTTGATTCAAATCGAACCTTCCACTCCCCTGAAATTTTAGAAGTGGACTTTATGTAGACTTGGTAGAGATAACAGGTTGTGCAAAGCTTTGTTCATATCGGACATTTCATTCGCCTGATATTGGATTTATAAATATAGAAAATCTTGGCCTTTCGTGGGGGAGGTAACAGAAGGAATGGACCAATGGGCCCCTCTTCAAACTTGGTAAAGATAATATGTTGTGCAAAGTTTGGTTAAAATCGGACATTCCATTCGCCTGATATTGGATTCATAAATATGAAAAATTTAGACCATTTGTGTGGGAGGTACCAGAAAGAATGGACCAATGAGTCCCATCTTCCTACTTGATCTACGCTTGGTAAATATATTAGGTTGTACAAAGTTTCGTAAAAAACGGACATTCCACTCGTCTGATATTAGATTCATAAATATTGAAAGGAAGGAGTGGACTGATGAGTCCCATCTTCAAACTTGATCGTTCAAAGTTTGGTTAAAATCGGACATTCCATTCGTCTGATATTGGATTCATAAATATGAAAAATTTTGACCAGGTACCAGAAGGAATGGACCAATGAGTCCCATCTTCGTACTTGATTTAGGCTTGGTAATGATAATAGGTTGTGCAAAGTTTCGTTAAAATCGGATAGTCCGTTTGCATGTTATTATAAAATTAATTTTAAGCGCAATTTTATCCATTTTGTGAGGGAGATACCAGAAGGAGTGTACCTATATTCCCCATCTTCGAACATAAACTAACTTTGGAATAAATATTAAGATGTGCACAGTTTAAATGAAATCGATTATTCCCTCCGAGAGTTATCGTGCGCATCAGCCAGACAGGCGGACAACGGACGGATGTGCATTTGTAAATCAACTCCAAATATTCTGAAACTTATTTGGTCCAAGGAAACATGGGGTCTAAAACAAATAATTCGATAAGGCACATTTTCACCGTATCAAATTGTATATACCCTCATTAGCCATAAGACTGAGGGTATAAAAACTATTGATAACATGTAATAGCATATTTCGTAAATTAACATAATGCCACCATAATGTTATGAGCTGTAACAAGCATGGATACCATTGGGTAACTGATTTCATCCAGGCTTGACTTCGGATTTTTTTTTTTTAAATTAAGATAAATTTCCAAGATGGAAAGAATCCGACTCCTTCTTCTTATATCTTTTCACAAAATGATCAGAATTGGAAAGAAAATGAAATATCAGCCCACTTCTCAGGTCACCCTTCCATAAGTTTTGGTAGAAAAATGTAGCTAAATCTCAAACCAATAACTATGGCGCCCAAATTAAACATAATCTCATACTTCCATTCTGAATTGTTTAGCATGCAATATTCCTATTCGAGACAAAGTTATTTTGTCTTATTGTTCGTGTTATAGAGAAACGTAAAAATATAGAATATACAGGTCCAGTGTGCAATATCTAAAGAGAATACTAGCTACTCCTCTATACCGCAAAAGGTTTCACAATGAGAAGAATAACCCATAGGACAATGTTTAATAGTTAAGCTTTGTTGAGCAATGACTTAATAAAAGGATCACAATCCTTGCTGAATGTAAATCCTCTAAAGAGAACATTCATTATGGAGATGGTAAAAAATCGTTGAAACAGTCATATACCTATAAAAAATGCGATGCAACACTTTAAAGAGATGAAATGAATATAATAAAGATTAAGTTGAATGGAATTTATGGGCATACTTGCAACATGTTTTCATATTCAATGAATAATTAAGTTGCATTATAATTATATGATGCATTTGTACATAATATTGTTTTCAAGCTATTGAATTCAATTAACTTGGTACTGAAATTTATGTGCTCGTATGTCCTCACCCAAAATTAAAATAATATAGTCCCCATTCATATGCTCACATGCATTATTGTATTGTAGATACATTTACGGGAGTCTTTGGTGGAACTTATGAGGATGAAGGCTGTATCGAGGGACAGTTGTGTATTGTAGATCGAGGCACATGGAAAGGGCATCCACAAAAACAGAAATTGGATCCCCAGACGCTACCTGTTCAGCGAGTAGTAATTGCTCATACAGCTTCAGAACCATGCGACTCGCTGGTAAGTAGCGCCTACGCTTTGATGAACGAACACAAACTAAGCAATCATTTGTGCTATCCCCATTTCAGGTGACATGTAGCGAACGGGTTCGCGTTATTCAGGAATACCACATGAACTCATTCAATTGGGATGATATTGGCTATAATTTTCTTGTAAGCAGCGACGGACGTATCTACGTGGGACGGGGGTGGGATGATGTTGGTGCCGTAGTGAAAGGCTTCAATGTGAATAGCGTTGGCATCGCTTTCATTGGCACCTTCGTGAAAACCAAACCCACCGAAGCACAACTGAAAGCCTGTCAACTGTTGTTGGAAGAAGGCGTTCGTCTTAAGAAAATAAGACCCGATTATATCCTAAATGGGGCCCGCCAATTGAGCGCTACCGAAAGTCCCGGCGATGCTTTATATAAAATAATTCAAAAATGGCCACACTGGACCTCAAAAATATATTTATAGCATGTTTTTTTAATGTCTGTATATATATGTATATTAGGTCGGCTTTTGTATTTTATATTAACTTTATTTTTTGTGTATCTCATTAGGGACAATGCGTATCCATATAAGAATATATCTAAACAACTCAATTTTATTCTTAAGCTTATTTTATTGCGAAGCTTAATGTTTGTCAAATTAACTCAATAAATATTATAATTTAAGATAATCGAAATATTACATGTTATACTGCTTAAATCACATGTGCACATTTGAGTTTAATTTAAACAAATTAATTCAAACAAATTAATCTCCTTTGCTATAATTATTAAAAAATATTGTGAGACCTCCGGACTCACTACTCCAGGAATATAAAATAAAAACTCTCAACTTCATATCGATGCAAAATATTTTCATATCGAATATACAAATATTTTTGATCGTCTTCTGAATTTTGGAACACCTATGTACCTATGGACTCAACTTTTGATTCATGCTGCGTCACATTGATTTGTGTGTACATATTTGTTAGTAACATGTAATAGACAAGAAGGAAACCCCGTTGTCGTCATTGATGTACTACTTGCAAGCATATAACATCAATTGCTATACAATTTGATACGATTTAAATAATACTGTATTATTAAATCTCCTCCAAATTGATATTGGAAGTGATGTACCAAAACATCATGTTTCTTATTTCCAAAATCTCTCTATGGAATTAAAAAAAAAAAAATAATTTAAAAATTATTCTAAATTAAAGTATAGCATACTTTGAAGATTTTCATAAAAAATTGCATACCCTATGTTAATATTTCACAAAATTATCAGTATTATATAAAAAAAAATTCCATTAAAAGTACATTCCATTTTTACAGCCCTGGACAATGTTGGAGGTGGAAATGTTTTGCGAATAGTGCCGCGTGATGGATGGTTAGCACAGCCTCCCATAAATCCATGGGTGTCACTTAGTCTACCCGTTGAACGTGTCATTATAATTCACACACGAACTACAAATTGTGAAACTCAGGTAAGTCTGTCGTGAATATGAATCCAAAACTGCTATCTCAATTAACATGAATTCATTATTATTTTCAGGCTGCCTGTACATTTACGGTGCGCAATACTCAGACTTTTAACATCGAGTCTCAACAACAAGATGATATTATTTATAATTTCCTTATTGGCGGAGATGGCAACGTTTACGAGGGACGTGGTTGGGATAATCGCGGTTCCGTCATCAAAGGATATAATGATGACAGCATAAGTCTGGCGTACATTGGATCCTTCAAGAAGCAAAGGCCATCGGATAAACAACTAAATGTTACCAGATTGCTGCTGGCGGAAGGTGTGCGTCTAGACAAACTCACCCCAAATTATCGAATAGTCGGAGCAAATAAATTGGATCCCACGTCGACTGCAACTTCTGCAGATGCCTTATATGAAAGTTTCGAAGACTGGCCACATTGGTCGGATCACTGATCAGAGTAGTTCTATTTGTATAAATATCTGAGTATCCTCTGAGTTATATTAACAAAACAGCATTGAAATATTGTCATTGGTTGTCATTCGTTATCATTTGTTGAACTCTTCCCGAGTAATGTCATTAGTTAATAAGGTACCTGAGCATTTCCATTCATTTTGTACATAAACAACGTAGTTCGATTGTCTCCATTTAGTAGTATTTTCAAAAAAACTATTTTAATTTGTTGCCTAATTCGTGTTTTTGTTATTATTCTTTGGAAATCTATTGCCGGAGACACAATTAAATAATTCTGATAATTTAAGTCTAAATTCTATCATTGGAATTTACTAGTCCCTTATCTCACAAACAAAATTCAATAAAAACGACTGCAAATGGTTATACATATACTATGAATATGAAATAAATATAAAAGCTAAAATTTAAACGCTTTTGACTTACTAAAAACGTAGCAGTCTTAGTTTTGTAAACACGCTTATATATCATCTGAGAGTCGTATTTGTGATTTCCTTAAGGGGAAAAAGTTTACATTTATTCGAATATTACTAATATGAACTATTTCCAAAGCCAACTTCATATCCCAACTCGAAACAATAACAACATTCGTCCAACCAAACTAAAATATGCCAATTTTAGTACATTTTCAACTTTTTGTCGAAGATGGGCTATATCGGTCCACGTTTAGGCATAGCTCCCATATAAGGGTACCTCCCAATTTTCGGTATTTTGAAGTTCTTGAGCGTGTTTTTCAACCGAATTCGCTGAAATTTGGTACATTGGGTTCTTATTGGGTACCAAATGTCCCTACAAAAAAACATAAATATAGGTCCACTTTTTCTGGTAGCCCCTATATAAGGGTACCTCCCCATTTCCAGTTTTTGGGGGGTTTTGACCGGATTTTTTCCATCGAATTGGCAGTAATTTAGTAATTAGAGTTCTTATTGGGTAGAAAATCTCTTCACAAAAATTATAAATATAGGTCAATTTTTTCGGGTAGACCCCATATAAGGGTACCCCCAAGTTTGCGATATTTTGGGGGCTTAAAAATGTCCACAAAAAATTATAAATATAGGTCCACTTTTTCTGCTAGCCCCCATATAAGGGTACCTCGCCATTTCCAGTTTTTGGGGGGTTTTCACCGAATTGGATGTAATTTAATAATTTGAGTTCTTATTATGTAGAAAATCTCTTCACAAAAAAATTATAAATAAAGATCAATTTTTTCGGGTAGACCCCATATAAGGGTACCCCCAATTTGCGATGTTTTGGGGGCTTAAATCGTCGAATTCGTTGAAATTCGGTACTTTGAGTTCTAATTGGGTAGCAAATCTCTGTACTAAAAATTATAAATATAGGTCAATTTTTTCGGGTAGCCCCCATATAAGGGTGCCCCCCAATTTTCGGTATTTTAGGGTTCTTGAGCGCGGTTTTCAACGGAATTCGCTGAAATTTGGTATTTTGTAGTCGTATATGGTTACAAATCTCCCCACCAAAAATTATTAATATTCACCGCTTTTTTGGGGTAGTCCCCATATAACCCCCTTTTTATACCCTCCACCATAGTATGGAGCGTATATTAATTTTGTTTTCCCGTTTGTAACTCATCGAAATAATCATTTCCGACCCTATAAAGTATATATATTCTTGATCAGCGTAAAATTCTATGACGATCTAGCCATGTCCGTCTGTCTGCCTGTCTGTTGTAATCACTCTGGCGTCTAAACGAATTGAGATAGATCGCCAAAATTCTGCATAGAGTCGTCTTTTGTCTGCAGGCAGGTCAAGTTCGAAGATGGGATTTATCGGTCCACGTTTAGGCATAGCTCCCATATAAGGGTACCCCCCATATTTTCGGTATTTTGAGGTTCTTGAGCGCGTTTTTCAACCGTATCCGCTTAAATATGATACATTGGGTTCTTATTGGGTACTCAATGTCTCCACAAATATTATAAATATAGGTCCACTTTTCCTGGTTGCCCCCATATAACGGTACCTCCTAATTTTCAGTATTTTGGAGGTTTTTAACGTATTTTTTCGCCGAATTAGCTGTAATTAGGTATTTTGAGTTCTTAATAGGTACCAAATCTCTCCACAAAAAATTATGAATATAGGTCAATTTTTTCGGATAGCCCCCATATAAGTGTACCCCCCAAATGTCGGTATTTTGGGGTTCTTGAGCGCGTTTTTCAACCGATTTCGCTGAAATTTGGTATTTTGTAGTCGAATATGGTAACAAATTTCTCTACAAAAAAATTTTAATATGCACCCCCTTTTTGGGGTAGTCCCCATATAACCCCATTTTTATATAAAAATAGTTATGCAATTTGTTCCGCGTTTTGGGTTTGGTTCTAAGACTCTGTTGTAATATATCACCTGTGGAGGATATCGAGATAAAAAAACTAGAACGTAAGGTTCGATAATGAACTATAACCCGTATTTAAACCTAGCCCCTGTGTGGGAGGTACCAGGAGGAGTGGACCGATATTCCCCATCTTCGAATTTGAACTAAATTTGGAAGAAATAATAAGATTGGCATAGTTTAGATGAAATGTAAATTTTCTGAAACGGAGTTGGTCCAAAGAAACATGGGGTCTAGAACCAATATTTCGATGAGGCACATTTTCACGGTGTAAATTGTATACACCCTCATTAGCCATAAGGCTGGGGGTATAATTATCCATTACAAATTTCTGAAATTTATATTATGTAAACTATAATAGAAATGTCGGTATAGGTCCACATTTTGGTATGTTCCCTATATTTTCATTTCTAGTACCTGTCAGTATATTTATGGTGGAGGGTATCCAAAGTTCCGCCCGGCCGAACTTAACGCTTATTCACTTGTTATTCTTTATTTTCAAATATATTTAAATTTTTAAATTCTTGTTTCGAAATGGGTTTGAAAAAAAAAATCAAAAACAACAACAAATTGTTATATCATATAATGTTACCATCAGCTGGTTTGATACGGTTACCTTCTTAATATATCTTGGACATATCATATTACCAATTCGCCGATGCGGCTACCTTATATATGTCCCAATTTATATTAGGCGAGTTTAATTGCGGCAAGTCTTTGTTTGAAGGAGAGAGGGGCAAGGGGAATAGAACTTGAAAAAAATTGCTCGTACCGACAATTTTCTGGCAATTCGTTTGTAGTGTCAGTAATTTGAATTTTTTTTTGTAGTGTCAGTAATTTAAAATACCAATCCAGAATATTGTAAAAAAAAATTATTTTTGAAATCGAATTGCCTAGTATAGAAGAATGAAGCAAGTTCAAAAGAGAACGATAAAAATTGCCGCAAGTAAACTCGCCTAATATAAATCAGGGCTATCTACCTTAGTCCCAATATTCAGTTTTCATATATTTTAATTTGGTTATAACGAACTTGCTACAAATATGTGTAATACTGACGAAGACAAAAGTTAGTTTTTACTCTAACGCTGGAGAAGAGAAGAACCTTAAAATTTTCCAAAAAGGACACAAAAGAGTTGCTTAAGTTTTGTCCATACAAAAATTGAGACTATTCCCTTATCCATTAATACTTATTTATTTCATAATGAATTTTCCATTAATGGTTTTCTTTTTTATAAGTGAATAAAGTACCCGATTTATAACTGAAAACCCCAACACGATATAATTATTTTTGAAAAAGTTATGCGGGATTTTTTTAACCCTGCAATTTTAGTGAACAAAATATAATGCATATATAGTGACAATTATTTGTAAATATTTAATATTTAAATATCGGTTCAATATTTTACTATCTTAATTTGTAAATTGTATTTTATATAATTTATGTACACGCTTCAATATATTAGGTTGGGGAAAAAGTAATCCATTAGTTTATATGAATCCATTATTTAATATGCTTCGGAATGTTCGATTTGGGCCAAATATGCACCGTTTTGTTGCCATTTCAAAGGTAACTTCATAATGCCTCTCTCATAGAAGTGCTACTCTCTATTTGCAAAAAAACTCTAGTAGTAGATTTTCACAATCCTCCCTAGATACCAATTTTGTATCATTAAGGAAATTTTCCAATGCAAGAAAAGGATGATAATCCGGACTGTATGGCGGATGCATTAAAACTTCCCAAACAAGCTCCTGAAGTTTCTGGCGAACCACTGTAGATGTGTGTGGCCTAGCGTTGTCCTGGTGGAACACGACACCTCTCCTGTTGGTCAATTGCTATCTTCAAACGGGCCAGTTGTTGATTGTAGATATCATAATGTATGTATGTCATCCATTTCTCATCTCTAGTCTATCTTATTCCGTTTGGTCAAGGCTTCGCAGATGGAAATTCGATTCATCCTATATTTTCTGTTCATTGGTGTGGCACACAAAAATTGAGCTTCTTTTTGAATCCAGCTTTGTGTAAATGGTTTAAAACAGTTTTATTGTCAATTTTTAGCTCCTGGGCGATGTTACGACTGCTAACATGCCGGTCATTTCTCCGATATTATCGACATTTTCGGTCGTCGAAAGGAATCTACGAAACCAGTATTGCACAATTGGCTGTTACAGTATCTGAACCATAAACACCATTCACAATTTTAACCGCTTGGCTTGCATTTTCGCCTTTGTCAAAGAAAAAAAGAAAATGTACCGAATTTACTCTTTGTTTACTTCCATTTTAACACCCTGTAACACAAAACTGAATGCACCAAACAAAAAAAGGAAAATATTTTTTTTACTGCGAAATGTCACCCTCCCAACGATCATAAATCTGAAATAGTTTGATCGATACTTTACGAGTAATCTATCAGTACAGCCATCTGCCGAAAAAAATAATGGATTTCTTTTTCCCCCACTAATATATATATATATATATATATATTCTTGATCATCTAATTCATTCAGTATTTAGATTTTACTTATAAACAATCTTAATAAGAAGTGTGTTCGTATAAACTAAGGAGTATTTCTTGAAATTGGAGCTTTATTATATATTATCCAGCACTGCAGGTAATGAGTGGAAACCTAAAGTAATATAACCGTAATTGATATTCACAAATTGAGTTCGGAATTGATTTACTATCCTGCAGCCCTGCTGTGAGGAAATACGCAATGTATTGAGTTCACACAACACAAGTGAATTATTTGATGGAATTTTCAATTATTCAATTGGCCAATATTATTATTACAGAAGTATATTTCTTACGAAAACTTAAAGGAAGCTATTGAATGTAAGTGCAATATTCGATTTCATTTAAATCCCATACTTTAGCCAATTCCAATGATGAAGCCTATTAGACCACTCATGTGGTACCTTTCCACAAAATATCGAGATTTTGATTTTTTTCTCTAAACCAAAAGAAAATTCGACTTGGGCTAAATAGAGTATACATATATTTTTTTATAGTTTTGGAACACCTATGTATTTATGGACTATGCAATTTGACATAATTTAAATATTACTGTATTATTAAATTTCCTCAAATTTAATATAACATCATGGTCCAGTGTGCAATCTCAAATGAGAATACATGCTACTGTCCTATATCGGAAAGATTTCACAATGAGAAAGTTAACCATGGCCCAATGTTTAATAATTACGTTTTGTGAAGCAATGGCCTAATTAAAGGATCACAATCCTTGCTGAATGTTAAACCTTTAAAGTGGACATTCATGGGTAAAAAAAAGTTAATATAGTCAAAGACCTTTAAAAAATGGGATGAAGGAAATAACAAGTGAAAAAAACGTTTAGTTCGTCCAGGCCGAACTTTAGATAACCTCCACCAATAGGTATACTGACAGGTACTTGAAATGAAAAAGTCGAAAGAATTCTACAAACCGATTTATGTAAACAATAATGTACACCATATACAAATTTCAGAAATTTTGAATGGAGATTTTTCGTAAAAACTGCAAACAGTGGGCCGAAGTGGAACATTCCCAAAATACTGCATTTTAGAGGTCGCAGTTATATGAGGCAATCATCAACGTTTATTTCGGGGGTTGGTTGTAAGCTGCTGGTTCAATATGAAAATTGTCATTGTATGCGTACGTCGTTGGAGGCTATACCTAAAGGAGGACCAATATTGATTACATCATGCATCGAATTACCGAACATTTGTAGATATCATTATATGAGGTGTTATACCTAGTTGAGGACTGATATAGCTCAATTTTGAAACTAACATCATGATAATACATTTCATTACGCTGTATATTGAAAATACGGAAATTCGGTAAGTATCATTATATGGGCGATAAATGCGGGCTATAGTTCATATCGTCATCATATGGGAGCTATGCCTAAAAGTGGACCGATAAGCCATCTTCGAACTCGACCTGCCTCCAGACAAAAGACGACTCTAATTCAATTCGTTTAGACGCTAGAGTGATAACAACAGACGAATAGACGGACGGACATGCATAAATCATCATAGAATTTACGCTGACAAGAATATATCGCTCACTTGCTGCAAATTAGTTAACACTAGATTGCCGAAGGCTGTCATTTTGACAGTTTTTCAATTTGCACTCCGACGGTGATGTTAATTTCAATTTTCAGGATACCAGCTCGATTTGTACCTCCAAATTAAATTTGTACCAAATATAGTACCATATAGTATTTTTAGTAGTCGGTTTCAAAACCATCTCTTTATATCGACTCTGCAGTGGAGAGTCTGCACACAACATGAAGTCGTGCATCATTAACACTAGATTGCCGAAGGCGGTCATTTTGACCTTTTTCAATTTCAAGTACAGAAACAACTGTGCATATAATGACGCTTTTTTTAAAATTTGGTGACCTTTTTGTGTAGAGGTAAAATCCTGAAATTTGGAGTCAGGATCACTGTTGGGGTGTAGAATAGGCGTATGTAGGATGTTTTTGGAAATTGGTACTACTGTGTACTAAATTTGGTACAATTTGAACTGTGGGTGAAGCGATAGAGTTGAAATCCTGAAATTTGGATTCAGAATCACTATTGGGGGGTATGTAGGACGTTCTGGAAATTGGTACAACTATGTACTAAATTTGTTACAATTTGAATTGTGAGTGAACCGATAGAGTTGGAATCTTGAAACTTGGATTTAGGATAACGGTGAAGGTGTAGGATTGGGGTATGTAGGTAGTTTTGGAAATTGTAGTAAGTAGGAAAGTGTGGGAAGTTTTGGAAATTGTACTACTGTGTACTAAATTTGGTACAATTTGAATGGTGGGTGAACCGATATAGTTGGAATCCTGAAACTTGGATTTAGGATAACTGTGAAGGTGTAGGATTGGGATATGTAGGAAGTTTTGAATATTGGTACTATTATGTACTAAATTTAGTACAATTTGAATTATGGGTGAACCGATAGAGTTGTATTCATGAAATTTGGATTTGGATTTAGTATGTAGGAAGTTTTGAAATTTGTAAGCGATCATTCCAATAAAGAACCATTATTGTTCTTTTCCATTATTGTTCTTATCCTTTTATTTCCATTTTCTTGGATTATATAGTGGTGAGAAAAATATACTTATATATACTATATTTTATATATACTATATATATTATAAATACTTTCATCGCTGCACCATTTTCATTATTTCAACTTTTTTAAATGTATTTTTAGTTGAGTATGATAATAGTGTATTGTTTTGATAAAAACGAACAAATATTCTACAATAAAATGTGTTTTTATCTAGAACTTGAACACTTCCTAAGTTTTATACTTACTTTTGTGGCAACAAATTTGGAACTTGTTTTCAAGAAGTGCTGTCGGCATTTGAACAACATGAAATTACAGTTACTTTTGGAATCTGTGTTTAGTCTCAAACTTTTGTTACACGAATAAACATTTACACATCCTTAGAAAAAAATTATAATACGAAGCGGCTGTTAGTGTAAAATATCTGGTACCGCACTGCAAGCATCTTCCAATTTCTATTATAATTTTTTTGGATATCTGTGTTGCCCTGTGTGGACGGAATGCATATGTGTTTCCTTAAAATAATTTATATACACACATCTATAAATATAGAAACTTCAAAAGGAATCCCCTTGTTTATTTACTTTGGTCTTATCAGCATTCACCGCAACATGACTGATTATTGTTCAGCGGGAGAAACAAATATTTCAAATTAATCACTCAGCCATCTTTGAACACTATTCGACTATAAAACGAGAACACCACTTCGCTTTTACTTTTCATACATTAAAATAGAATGCTTCTCGCCAGTGTCAATACACATGTGTAAGAATGCAAAATAACCGCAGTAATATTGGTGGCTGACACTGTATGGGAACAACCAATAAAACCCACGGTTCTCGATAAACTTATTCATTCAGCATATGAACATCACGTAGAAACAATCAGATTCGGAATAGTGTCCGTATAAATTGGAGAGTATTTCTTGAAAAATGCCACGTAAACTATTCTTTGGTTGGCCCGTCTTTTTGGGAGCTTTATTATTTGCTGTCCTGGGCGTCAAAGGAGAACTACAAATAATTTCCCGCGCCGAGTGGAAAGCAAAACCAGCTGTTGAACAGATGACTCCCCTCGAATTGCCGGCACAGCGTGTAATAATTGCTCATACTGCTGGCAATGAGTGCAAATCAAAAGTAAGTCAACGGGGATTGGTAATCACAAATCGAGTTGAGAATTAATTTATTGTCCTTGCAGGCTGCCTGCAGTGCGGAAATGCGCAATATACAGAATTTCCACATGACAAAGGCCTTCTTTGATGACATTGCCTATAATTATTTGATTGGCAACGATGGAAATGTTTATGAGGGTCGTGGTTGGAAATATCAAGGCGCCATTGCCAAAGGTATCAATGCAGGATCAATCAACATTGCATTTATGGGGGTTTTCAATAACCAGTTACCAAGTCAAGCAGCACTCGATGTTGTCAAACTATTGTTGGATAAACTGAAAACAGACCAGAAATTGAAGGAGGATTACAAGATTTTTGGACATCGTCAGCTTTCGCCAACTGTAAGCCCAGGAGATGCCCTCTATGCTGAAATACAAACATGGCCCAAATGGTCAAAAGATTTGTAAAAATATATATTTTTTTAATTTTTATTTTCTATGCATCATCATAATTTGTTGTACTTAAGCATACACATTCGTATGTATATATTTCATTAGTATGTGTTTATCAAATTTGTATATAAATTTAAAGTATATAGATTTGTATTAAAACTACTTGTTTTTTTTTTGTGAATGTGGGAAAATGTGTTTGAAATGATGAAACTGTTTAGCAACCCTGAACTCTATACTGTATGACCTCATTTCGAACCGCAGCTAAATATATTCCGATAAGAACATGTCAAACTGCGGTACAATTCAAATTTGTTATTTTCGATTGGAATAAATGTGCAAAATTTTCATCTCATTCGTATTATGAATGCGACCATTACTTTGTTACACGAACAGACGGATAAACAGCCGACGGACACATTACACTCGCACGTACTTTGCCCTGTTATTTAAGCAAAACGTCAAAGCTAACAAGTTGTTTATCTCTTTTAATGATAATCACCCCTATTCCGTATGTCGTCGTCGACACGAAACGACGTCGAAGGGAGTCTTTTGGAGTCTTTTGCAAATTGGTATTCCCTATGTCGTTGTCGACATTTATCGATAACTATTGAAACATTTTTGGTATTCCGTAACAATGTGTGACGACGACGACGTCGAAGATTTCTTCGTCATAGCTTTTGTTGACGACTGAAGCGTTTGAACATTTTTTTTTTAGAAATTAAAAAAAAACATGGCCGGACAAGAACAGGATACATCATTCTAGAATCTATTCAATACTTAATGCAAAATAAAGTGTAAATAAAGAAAAATATATATATATATATATATATATATCTATATATAAATCTGAACCGATTTTGACCAATGTCAACAGGAATCGTCCATGCGCCAAATAAAATTTCATCCCAATTGGATGCACTTTTCCAAATTTCATCCCGTTCGGATCATAATGGTGGCATGTAACTTGTTTAAAATAATACATGGATGGAGGGACATGCATAAATCGACTGAAAAATAATTCTATGTACATATATAATAAAAAGTAACTATGGGTCTATCTCGTTTCTTTTTGGTCGTGGCAAACACATTTACCCTGTGCCACAGTGCGGTGAAGGATACAAACACATTTTTGCCCAAAAAATGCAACAATTTTTTTGTTTTTATTGATATTATCGATAAATAGTCGACATCGTCGCATGAGTGTTACAGAATACCAAATCAGTGTCGAAGTGATGTCGATGCGTAGTGATGTCGAAAGAGAAACGTCGTTGACAACGACGACGACATACGGAATAGGGGTGAATATCTTCTTTTAATAAAAGCATCTAAACACATCCTATTTTTAATAACGTTTTATCTCGGAAACGGTTAAACTTATCGGCTGAAAAATTACACTGTTTGACACGAAAATTATCTAGGGGTTCTAATGTACCAATTCTGTTTAGTTGGAGTCCCGGAACCACGAAAATAACTTTCGTTTTTCTGGGTCACTTCGAAAATTAGTTTTATTACGGTAAATGTAGAGAAAACCGTGGTTTCATAGATTTTCAATTTGAAACTCGAATAACTTATTTTATCTCTAACGGATTTATATTATTCATGATAATTCCTCACTAGAACATCGGAATCCGAAAATTCCAACGTTGTTTGAAATAGCACATGTCTGGCTCTCGCGCCACAATACAACAATTAACAAAATGGCGGAACTTTGGATAATCGCCTATTTTTGACCACAAACTAAGTCAAAAAAATAAGATTTTCACCGATTCGCTTTATCCTAGTTCATACAATAGCTATACACTCACAGATAAACGTCCCAAAATTTTAATTCGATTGGGTTATTAGTTTTTGAGCTATCGTGCCCGCCATTCGCCAAAAACGCTGTTTAGAGAAAAACGCGTTTAAAGTTTGAGAAGTCATCTTGCCGTCACTTGATGCTAACACAAGAAATAGGCTATATCTTTAAAAATTTGTGATATTTTCACTTAAAAATTTATAGGGACATTCTTGAATTAGTGTAGGTTCGAATTACATCAAAATACAAAATTAAATTTAAATCTACGTCAATATCGATAGTTGTTGATACAAATATTTCAATTTGGTTTAAAGAGAGAACCTCAAATTGCAAAATTGGTTGAATGCCGCACTAATATCTTACAATTTTATCATCAGCATACTTTGTTAGTAAAAAACAATTTCAATTATTTCTTTAAATTTGTACATGACATTTTCAACGACTATTTTATATTGTCGCCGTTAATTCTTATGTTTATGTACGGTCGCAAAATTCTAGACAGAGAACATATCGAGGAGTCGGACGGTACGATAACCCTTAGATATTATTTGGAAAACAAATTCCTATCAGTCTTCACTTTCATTATAATCGCCAGTTACTAAGTCAAAAAATAAGATCTTCACCGATTCGCTTTACAATACAATGGTAATCATTTAATGTTAATATTTTTACACATGATAATTATATATTTATATCCATGGTATAATAAGGAAGGTAGTCTCATGCACTCATATGTTCAAAATTTTTTTTCTTACTGTACCTTCATTGTCAAAAGTTATAATTTGTATTTCCTCCTCGGTCTATCTCGTTTCCTTTTGCCTGTTACAAACATAACTGTTTGTATTTCCTTTAGAGAATATGCATAGAATCAATACAAAAATGTGTATAAGTCATCTATTTTTTAACCGATTTTTCAGATTTTAGAAAGCTCACTAAATTTTCTTCCCTGTAATATAATAAAACTTATACGGCTTTATATCATAATTTCATCGTACAGTCAGAAGAAAAATAAATTTTGTCTTTTTATGCGTATTTTTTCATAATCCTCAACCGATTTACCAAATATATATCTTGCATGAAATTCTACTCTTCGAAAGAAAAAAACAATAATATAAATCCGTTAGAAATAAAAAAAGCTATTCGCGTTTCAAATTGAAAATCTATGTGACCACGTTTTTCGTTACATTAACCGTTATAAAACTAATTTTCGAAGTGACCCAGAATAACCAAAGGTATTTTCGCCGTCCAGGGCCTTCAACTAAACAGAATTGGTACATTAGAACCCCTGAATAATTTTCGTGTCCCACAGTGTAATTATGCCATGATTTATATCTTTATCATTAAAAAATACAAAAAAAAAAATAATATTTCAAACAACATTTTAATTTGGAAATTACATAAAAATCTACCAAGAAGATTGCCAAACCAAAGAAGATTTATTTGAAGCCAGAAAAATTGCTGGAAGCAATAAAGCCTAACATAACTAACAATTTAATATCCTCTATGCCATGACATAATTAAAGAAGGTAGTCTCATTTGAGAAATTAACAATGGCAACCTTTTTAATTGGGAACTCATCTCTCAATTTCAAATTGATTGAAACATAAATTCCACAAAATTTTATTAAATATCTCCATTAATGCTCTTAAGATATAAATATAGATGTTTCAAGATAATAACGATTTATTTGAAATGTTCGAAGGTTTAAAAGGTCAGAAAAAATCGAAAACCGTAATATATACAGTGCCGGTCACGTAATTAGCACACATAGTTTTTTTTTAAAACGCTTATGTGTACTGTACTTGATCGATTAAACATGAGACCACAACAAGTTAAATTAGAGAGGGACACCTAATTAGCAAATCTTGGAATTTTTAATTTAAATTTCGTTGATATTACAAAATATATACAAAAAATAGTTTGTGTTATCAAATAAAGTCTAATGAATCATCGTCAGAAGAACAATTTAAAAAAAAAATGCAGTAAAATTTATTCAAATTGGCAACAATTCGTACTGCAAACCTAAAATTGGGAAAGTCAGCCTTTGTATAAAAAATAAAGATGCGAATGGCCCAGAAATTGCTAGAATAACTACACAGAAAAAAAAGCCACCCCGAAAATTTTGATTAAAAGCTTCATCAGCGTTCGACAAAAAGATGTCGATAACATATTTCAAACGTAGTCGGAAATGTTTATCAAACACCAACAATTCACAAAAAAACCATCAACAAACGAGTTTGACCAAAAAAATTATTATTTGTTGGACAATTTTTAATAATTTTTTTGTAATATGCCATATTATTTTTTACTACGTTATTACAAAGTACTTTGTTGAATAGATTGTAAAAGATGGATAACAAATATAAGTTTTTATTCGGTATAGAGCTACACATTTAGTTTAAAGCCGTTAAAATACTGAAAATTTGGAGGTATTTTTGTGGGAGAGCTGTAATAATAAGGGCAAAAATCGGCAATTGCTGTTTAAAAGGTTTTGTGTCGTACTACAAGAAATTTAATTTGAAATAATAATAATAATAATTTGATAAACAAGATTGTCAATATGAAAAATATTTTATCGATTAACAAAATAAAATTCAACAAAATTTTTAGTATATATGAGAATTGCTTTATCAAAATATTTTCGAATTGGATTAAAATTTTTTTTATCGGCGATTGTAAATATGAACATTATTTTCATCGGCGAAAAATCAATCAAATTTTAATTGGATTTTTGAATTTTTTTATCAAATGGTTACAATTTTTTTTTCTGTGTAGAGATCGATAAATATTTATAAAAATAAACAAAAATTCGAAATAAAAACTCAAAAGTTAGAAATTCACTTGAAGGACACCCTTGACTTCGTAGGGCTTGGATGAAGTAAAGCAGTATATTTTTATGTTATGTGAGGAAATATCAATTTGTAATAACATTTGATATATCAAATCAGTTGTTTGAGTAGAACAACAACAAAAATTATCGAAAATAATTTTAGTCTAAACTAAATGACCATGGATATAGGGGTATGTTGACCAGTATAAGCCTATATCACACAGCTAAGATTTTGCTGATCTACTCAGGTTGATTGAAATATGTGGATATATCTCAATATTATCCCAAAATTATGTTTTTTTAGATAGTATGAAGACCATTTAATAGATTTTATCTTGTCCGAAAGAAAAACTTTGCATTCGTTGAAAATTTAAAGATGTTGAGTCGATC